ATTTTTTCCCCCCAAAGCCACAGTAGATAGTTGTATGTCACAGCTGCATATCCTTCTAGTTGCTGTATGTGGGACGCAGCCTCAGCATGGCCAGAGAAGCGGTGCGTCGGTGCACGCCCGGGATCCGAACCCGGGCCGCCAGCAGTGGAGCGCGCACACCTAACCGCTAAGCCACGGGGCCGGCCCTCAATGCTTTAAGAACTTAAAATCAATCTTTTTCAATTTAAGCTCCTTAAAAGATCAAATTATGTATTTTTCACCTTACCTGGTTTTAGTTAAAGCAAACTCTTAATAAATTTAGGTCTTTTTTAGAAAAGGAAACAGAACACATTTCATTTTTTATATAGAATAAACTTTGTTTTTATTATAGACATAGATCAAAAATAAAAGTTTTTATGTACATATGACAATATAGTGCAAACAAAAGGCTTTTAAATACCATGGTAGACATGTTGTTGGAAACAAAAGGAGATGAATGATGGGGGTTAGGATGGTCGTCCTGGAACTGCAGGAGGGGGTCGCCTAGTGAAAACAAAACAAAACAAAATAACAAAAAGAAAAACACAGATGCAAAGGAAGAAAACAATGTGTAAATTATAAAACAAATCCAAATAAGAGCATGCAAAAATATCCCACAAAAGTCAGATTCAAATCAGACAAAAAACATGCAGACATGCAGGGGAAATGAGGGAACACCACAGGGCAAGGTTAGCAGTTCTCAGGACTTTTCCTGGCTACCAGCAGTGTGCTAGGTATGAGCCATTTGAGCCCACTCCAAAATCTTATTATTTTGTACCATGAAATGATAAATCCATGCAATCATATTCAGGAGACCTGGGAACAGCACCAGAGCCAAATACCTTTATACCCTGAGTATTTGTTTCCTAAGCCTGATTTTGTGACATTCAGTTATTTCCAAAGATTTCAATAAGTGTGTTGAAATCTCCATAGGGGGAGAGTGAGTTGATATAGAATTGTGACAGGTGAAATTTTTTTAAGATGAGGGAAATTAGAAGGTGTCAAGAGATCAAATGAGCGATGTAATCACAATGCAGAAAATGTCAAGGGTAGATCTTGGAGAAAAGGATTTGTAAATAAGTTGCTCCAGGTGAATATCCTCATGTGACTGCCTTTTCAGACCCAGGGAAACTTGAGGCTAGGTCTGGTTCATGGTGACCCCAGCATTTTGTAGGATTTCCCTCTGTCTCAGAGTTAGGTGCAACTAAAGTTCTGATTTATTCTGCACTGGGTCCAGGGTAAATAAGACTTGGTTTGCTGGATCTTTCCCCATATCCCTAGCCTGACTTGCATCTTGTGGGGCCCTTGGGTTGTGAAATAAGGGTCCCGCGTTGTGCTTCCTCTTGACCTCAGCCTCTCTGGATGATTTGCTGCTAGAGAAGATACAGTAAACTCTACATTGCAACGAACAGCTCTGTTAGTAAGAAAACAGCAGGCCAAATGAAGCTTTCCCACTGGTTTCCAGCAGAAGTCTACACTTTAATTTCCTCTTTCTAACCGAATCGGTAATGAACTCAACATTACGGCAAGCCATGGAACTGTGAGGTTAGCTCAGTACCCTACTCTCTGTGGGATATTTTTTAGCTACTCATCCAGGTGTTCAAGGACATACTCACTTCCATCTTACTCTTGTAACACTTCAGTGAGTGGAGCAATGAAGTCTACAAAAAAACAAAAACAAAAACAAACTTCTTTTTCATCTTCCATGAGATGTTAATAGAGCCAAACTGGTTGGGCTATTTCTGAGCAGTGGTAAAAAACGATCTTACCTCCCCGCAAAGTCCAAGACCAATTTTTCTTTGGTCCAATTTAAGCTGGCTACACTCAGGAGGCCTCCCATCCATTTAAATGATGAAGAACTTGTTATTGGTAGGTAACCTTTCAACTGCGGGGGGTCTGCAAGCCTTTAGCTTTAGAGATCCAGGTAATGGGTATCCCTGGTGTTTTCATGAAGAAAGTGTAATTAAATTCCTGTCAGGCTCAATGAGATTTATCACCTGCCCAGCAAACAGAAACTATTTTTGAGTTCTGAAGGGGCTTTAGAACACTTTAATTACCTCAGCAGGGTGGGGAGGTGAGCCATTAAACTGAACAGCAAGTCCACAGTGCTGAAGGGACATTCTGTTAGCATATGCCAAAGCACTTTCCTGTTTGAGTTAGTCTGGTGTTCTACTCCAGAAACAGGATCAGAAACTTAATGTCTTGGAATATATTTCACGGACAGCTAAAATGTTTGCTTCAAACATCAGAGTGACATTTATCCCAGCAGGCAGCTCCTTTCTTTTCCTCTTCACCTATCCTGTATCTAACTTCCCTCTCATTGCCAAAAGAGCACTGTTGATGGTGACACCATATAGTAGCTCAGAGTTAGTTCCATCATGGATCTTGACAGTTTGGGTTTATACTATTTCTTTTTCAGAATTTTCTGTATTACTTACACAATGCTTAAGTGTTTGAAGGCAAGTGCTGAAAATATTTGGGCTTTTTATATGAAGAGCTACAAAGATACCTCATACTGTTGCTGCCTCTAATATAAAAGCTGGAGCACTGAATTGGAATACTGAGTTGCTAACAAATTTTAAAGCTCATCATACTAGTATTCACCATACAAGCAAATCTACCTAATGCAGATTATAATTTCAGGTTATACCTTCTTAAACTTTCTGAAAAAAAACTTCATAGAATTGTTTGGCCAAAACAGGAAGGTAAGCAGGCAGGAAAAGCTGTGTACGGAGCATGGTCATAATGTATATATAAAAGCCTCAATTATTAAGAAGAAGGATGAATTATCCACATTCTCTTGGATCTACCTCAATGCTGCCATCTCTTCCTATGGTGACATTCCTGTGGCAGGATCCCTGGGAAGGTCTTCCTTATAACTTGTTTCTTTTCTGTTACAATCTCACAAAGCATTCTCTGCTTGCTTTCTTTGCCCATCATTTAGATAACTGAATATCCCAGAGCAGTGGGTGAGCCTGGAGGCTTGGGAAGTACAACAAAAAAGGCAATAAGAATAGGCATTCTTCTCAATTGTCTCTGATGATCTTTAATTTTAAATCAGCCTGGATCCCTTCCTTTGCAAGAACACAATGGGGGTAATGTAATTAATTTAGAGGAGCTCTTTTTTGGAGACTGAGAGAGGAAAGGTCATATTGAAGACTATCTGAGTCCTCCACGAGGCTCACAAAGACTCAGGGCATGTATGTCCCTAATCTGCCTTTGTGCCTCCTGTTCTTATGTGACCTTTCCCCTTGGGTCTCAGGCACTACGGTGACAAAGCACCAGAGCTCCAGGAGGCCTGTCCCAAGCCGAGAGCTCTGGTTGCTCTTACAGTTAATTTTCTCACCCAACTTATGTTAGTGACATAACTGTCCTGGGATAATCCCACTCAGTGCCTTTCCCTCTGGCCTGAAGCCACTGAAGCTGTGTTTCCTAAGGCATGTCCTTCAGAATACTAGTCCTGTGAGATGCTCAATGAACAAAGTATTGATGGTCAAATAAGTCTGAGAAACATGTAGACACGAACCTTCTCTTAGACATTCACAATGCAATCTGAAATTAAAGCTTCTGTAAGTCTTTCAGTAAAGAAACATTTCACTTTTAGTCATCATTTTCCAAGTATATTTAATCAAGAAATCCCTAGTGTATATGTGTATAAAACTTATCCAAATCTCACGGAATAGACTTTGGGAAACTCTGAATTAAGGTTGTGGTTTTAGCCAACATCTCTTGCGTGTATTCTAATTAACCTGCCACAGTGTGAAAGAACACCAACACATGGTCTTAAAGTGGCAATGCCTGGTGTGTGTTGAAGTACTAGGAAGTAGAGTAGGAGATCCATCTAACTCAAACACCAGATATGTCTCTCAGTATGAAATTTAAAGATTCCAGCAGAAAAGCAAGAATCTTGAAAACTAATTGAGCAGATATTTACATGATGCCAGAACTATTTTAAAAATATAAATGGAAATTTGCCAAGTAGTTACAGTAATGTCCTTGGGTTTTAGCAATTTCCATTAGAAATATTCCATAGAATATTCTGAATATAGAATCATGCAGAAACACACACACACACACACACACACACACCACACAAGTACACAGCATGATTCTCATCCTGACTCTCTCTTCCAGTAAGAAGTTTCCTTTGAAGGCACTGATGGCTCCACTCATAGAAGACGTATAGATATGAGAAAGAAACTACAACAAGACAGTGTGAATTAACACAACAGCTTTCTAATTTATCTTTTCACAATGAGTGTATCCTGAACACAGAGGGAAAGTAAACCAACGTTTCTCTCCTCCCACTCCCTTCTTTGTCTTCTGCTTTTGGATGGCACAATCTGGGACTATGTATGTTGATAAGGGGCCTATCATCAACACTCTTGTAACAAAGAGTCTTTCCCTATTCTCTGGAAACTCAGGACAAGGATGTATGTAACCAGTGAACATTCTTCCATTCTCTTAATATTGGAGAAACTGAGAGGGGTAACTTCTCCTCTCAATGCCCAATGAGTAAACAATGGAGGCCAACTGCTGAGTGAGGAGCTCAATAATTTTCTGTAAGAGATGCCTTCTGTGAACCTAACATTTGGGCAGAGTATTCTTCCTCCTTCTACTTCCCAGGGTTTTTCACGAACCCTTCCTCTTCAATAGCAAAATGTCACTGTGCCTCCTGGAAAGTGTCACATTGTATTCTCCAGCTGTCTAAGGTTTGTGTCCTTCTTTAATCTCATACGACAATGACTTCAGATCAGGAATAAAATGTCTCCCACTCTCCAGCCTTTGATTTGTCCAATTTCCTCCCTTTAAAAATCTCATCCTTCCCCAAATTAATGACACTAATGCCAAGTGCTATCATTCTGCACGTTGGTAATTGTGGGCCAATTAGATCAAAAGAGTTATAAATATTTAGAAGTCTCAGATCTTACTGATATGCATAGACATGACTCAAATATATACAAGAATGAGGAAGGGGTAAGTCCTTCAAATGTTATCATTTATTTCAGGTTCAGAAATACAGCTTCACATTTTCACAGCAGGTACATGTGACCTTCAAGAATGATACAGGCTTTAGGAACTTGCTTCAAAAATTCCATTCACAGAGTCCGTCCATATATCAGCATTAAGAAATCCTGAAAGTGCTAAGAAGACAGTGAAAAGTATTCTGGCTCAAATTAATTGAAGAAACAACGGAGAAGACAAGATTTTGCTTCTGTACACTGCTTCTTCATAAAAAAGCAAAAGAGAAATTTGATTCAGAAAAGGGAGAGAAAAGAAAGGGAGACAAGCAAGCAAAACAAAGGCTGTACATAAGAAATTAAACTCAAATCAAGTCATGGTAGAACTTCCAGTTGAGAGGAAAAATTTTTATCAAATTGGCAGCAGACAATGCAAGAGGTTAGACAGAGTAACTTTTATCATCATTTTAAAAACATTACACAATGAGCAAAGTTTAAGGAATTTGACAGTAAAAATTAAAAAGAAATGAATGCCTTGAGCTGAGCCATGTGTGAAACCCCAGACCAGAGAGGTGCAACGTCTCACCAACACACCCGCATGAACAGGTCTTCACAAGAACAGAAGACTCTCCCTTGAGTCTCCTCTCTCTTGCTCTCACACAGTCACACATTCTTACACAGATAAACAAATAGCAATGCATAACTATATATGCTTCAAAATATTCTTAAAGTTCACAATACAGAGCACCACATGATTTTAAACATACCAATTAGACAGGATGACAACATTATCTAGAAGACACATGGAGCTTTTCGGAAAGGACTGAGTGATCTAGTGCACTAATAATTATTTCTCTGAAATGATCTAGGTTTATTCACACTAAACTCTGAGCTCACAGCTAGCAGTCCTCTTATGAAATGATGCAAAACTCATGGCTTGAGTCTCATATCTTGTCTTCTTTCACTGAGTTCCACAGTTCAGAGACCTACTATTTAGGCTTTGTTCTCAATGTTAAGGAAATTCCTGTCAATTTCAAATAATTACATTGTTTGCCAAATGACAGATGTTTACCTGAAAAAAGTAGATGGATGACCTACCTCTACGGTATCAGGTAACTTCTCCCCTGCATTTTTAGCAAATTTACTCAGAAAAATCCACTACTTTTATTATATTGCTGTATCCCTCTACTTTATTTTTTAACTTTTACTATAGAGAAAAAATGACTATGTAGACCAACTTAGCTTTTTAAGATTCAGCTCAGCAATCCAAGGATAATTTATAATTCTAATCAGAGATCTTAAAGGTAGGTTTCCAGATCTTACTCTTCCTATCAAACTATATTGGCAAAGGTAACTTCTTAGAAAGCAATGCTGTGGATTTAGATACAAATGCTTGTGGATATTACTCTTACCATGTTGTCGTGGTAATTCTGAGCTTTGTGCCTCTCAGAATAATTACAATGTGGAGACAATTTTGCATACCTCATGTATGTTATCAGAAACGAACCACTGTTATCACGTATTATGGCAGATCCCTCAAAGCTACCTCTTGTATTCGCACAGTTTAAAAAATATATTTATACCCACACATACAAAGCACATGTATACATAAATATTTACACCCATACATATACATCTATATACAATGACATACAATCACATTCATGCTTGTGGCATTGTAACAAGCGCTTTTAAGTCTACCTACTCAAAGGGGCACAAAATACAGATACAGAAACAAATTTACTATGTATATACTGTATACATAGAGACACATGCATAGAAAATGGGTTTGTACACGGAAAACATCAACATTTATCACATACTGGTATTAGGTCCCATTTCATATTTGAGAATTACGGCTACAGTCTATACTAAAAAGTCATAAAATTAATCTATATGACTACTTTTTAATTCTAAGTTCAGAAGGCTTATAATTATATCACAGGTACTGGTTTCATTATAATGTTTTGGAATGAGTTTGTATCTGAATTAGTAGGCAATGTGCTAATAAACAGACCCTACTGCTCGTCTATGTTACAAAACGCAGCTAAAAGCAATTTCAGAAGAGTAGTCTTCGGAGATGATTTCAGGAAATGCAATATATCTGTTCTAAATCAATACTATTTCAATCATCTGTCCACAATCGAGTAAATGGTTATTCCAATTAGTCAATAAGCATGCAAGACATAACATGTGACCATAAAATAGATTTTTCTATCAAATAAACATATACATTTATTTTTCCAAATCCTAAAAACATCATATGTTTTATTTTATTACACTAGACATGATGGAGCTACATCTACTGTATAGACAACGTCAGAGCAATCAGTTAGGAGGAAGTTACAAGGAAGATTATACGTGGTATGGGGAACACTTAGAAAGCTCATTAGGCTACATTCCCATCTTAAGGCCTGATATGAATGCTGCACTTCAAACCACGCACATGCCAGAGCTTCCGACTTCACTCACAGTGACATCTCCTTTTAGCAGGATGCAAACCCTTTGGGAAATGGGATTAATACCAATCATATGGCATATACTGCAGCAAACTGAAAATATTCTCTAACATGACTGCTGAAATCCCAGGGGAGGCTGGGTTCTAGTAGAGATAACTTAGAAGTAAAACAGGACAAAAACATACCCACAAAGAGAGACACTTGGGACAGGAAAACTGGAATTATAATCTGAGAGCAAAAGCCAAAGATGACAAATGCCATTGTTTATGACTGCATAAGATCAGTGGAAAGAAACTTGGAAACAAATCTCCAATTTTCTTTGACATGATTTGTGCTGATCTAAGAACACACCAGTGGTTATCCACAATATTTTCCTTTAACAGAAGGAAATTTTTGAAATACAGCAAAATGCAAAACCACATTTAGCACAAAGCCAAACCCTAAAGTATATAATCCTTTAGCTGCCTATTTTAGAGCATTCAAAGGAAGAAGCAAACGGAATCTTAAAAAGAGGGAATTTTGTGAAAAGATCTCGCTGTAGATTATTTATTATACTGTGGATGTTTGTTTAACATATTTCCATTTAGCTGTGACACTGTTTTTAAAGACCGTGTGTATCTTGCACATCTGTTCCATTCACAAAAAGTTAATTTTTTTTTCCAATGAGAAAAAATAACATATGAGAAGACTTAGGAGGGGTGACGTTCTTTATACAATCACTTGTAACTTAAAAGCTGAAATGCTCTTTTTGTAAACCTTATATTCTCTGATATTTGCCTATTATAGGTAAGCTAGCTGTAACCTGTTAGAATAAGTTCAATATAATGCCATTCAACTTGGCAAGTTCTCTTTTTAATAATGGTTAAAAGTCTTTACTTCATACTTTATGAGTGTGTGCTTTGGGTATAAACTACACAGGAAATTAAAGTTAAGTTAACATACAAATCATGTTTGCTGCTTTCAAAGGGAGACATTTCAGTTGGTGAAACCTGATTTACTCATGCAGAATATGAAATAGTGTCGAGGGACACCACTGTTCAGTGAGTACTTGGTCTGCTGTCTGGGAACAGTCAGCAGACAAAATTCCAGTTGGCTTCTGGCTGTTTCCTACATGCTAATCGTCTGGTCCTAGCTAGCCCAAAACTCAGCCTCAAGACTGAACTATTAACCTCCAGGCTAAACCGCTTTTGCAAATTTTAGAAATGGTAGGAATCGCCAGTTTGCTTTAGATCTCAATGTCTTAATACCGTTTTCTGGAAAGACCAGGATAGAGACTCTGAAGCGGCACAACTGTAAAACTGTGAGCTCTGCTCCTAACCCGCGGCATCGCTCCCTAAAGGACTTTTCCTTCCATTCCAGGTCCCATTCTTTAAATACGGTTATCCCACAGCAAGGCTCAAGACTTATTCAGAAAGCCTAGAATGGATAGAAAGTTACATTAAAACTGTTTCAAAGGTAGGACGAATTCTTACATAAAGGAATTACACATTAGCATGGAAAGAGAGAAATATCTTTGCTCCAACCCACCAAATAAATAAAGTAGAGTTAGTGTCAAAGTGCAGTTAGCCATGCCTAAAATTAGGTCAATATGAAAAATTAAATCTCTTTCATTTTAGCATTAACTAGAACCTATGAGTAAGTGAGTATAGAAGTGAATGAAGAAATTACATTTTTCCAGACACTTCTAGAGATGTGATATTTTGCTTCTTCCTTGAACTCTAAACTAACTAGCCAAATCCATTGACTGACTACAGAGAAACAAGCTCGCTGTTGAATGTGCTTCTAGCATGAAGCAAAACACATTGGCGTGACAAGCTCTCTAGAGCAAGCAATGCGTTAACTTTTCCTTTGCAAACTACCTTGTGCTTCTGGAAAAGTTTTACTCTTAAGGAATCCTAATTTTAAAAAATCACTTCCTAGCAGTCTTATGAAATAAAGAGGAACGAAAGAGGATCTAAATAGGTAATTATGGAATAGGTGGAAACATTAATAATAGACAACGTAATTTCTGTCAGCCAAAACAGAATGTGGGAAAATAAAAATGTATGGCTTAGGTCTAAGCCCACCATCTCATATCTCTTAAGAATTACATTTGGTAGGTAACCTGGGAAACTTGTCCAAAGCCCTTGCAAATATATGCCAGGGTAGGCAAATGGTCCCCAAAGTATAGGGCTAATATACAAACCTACCCTTGGTCAATACAACATACAAAGCCTTGAAGGGTCAGCGGTTTTCAAGAGTCAAACTCCAGAGGTCTGACATACCATGAGCAATGAGGATGAGTGATGAATGTGTTAGTAAAACCGGTTACTTGCCTACTGATGTCCACACATGCGACTACTCATGATTTACTGCAGCGGTTATCAAATATTTTGCTTTCGCATAATTCATTAGTAATTAATTGCCATGCCAGATACTTCGTTTAGTCTAACAGAGAAGATTCTAGTGGACGGATTATAGTGGGACGAGTTGGTGATGGGGGTGGTCTCCGGCTAGAAAGAGAGAAAGAGAAAGGTAAAGAAACATGTAGAATATCTAGCAGAAGGTTGTCCCAAAGACAGTGAGAAAAAGCCATCACGCGCATGCTCATGCACAGACAGGCCAGCAGGAGTGGTTGTCATCTGTAATGATTTTAATGCTGTCACCTTTCATTCACGCAGCATTTTTTAACGAAAACGAGGTATTTTTTCATATGCAAATTTTTCTCAAAATTGAAGTCATCCCTCCCAATACTAATAAAAATATTAAATCATTTAAAAGCCATCTAAAATACACTGCACATTTCCCAGCCAATAGAGTATGATTACATAGAGTAAACTGTACTGTTACGTTTACTCCAGGAACTATAGTCACGAGCCACATAACGATGACCAACTGCAGAGACAACGGTGGTCCCATAAGGTTAGTACTGTATAGCCTAGGTGTGTAGTAGGCTATACTGTGTAGGTTTGTGTAAGCACACTCTGTGATGTTTACACGACAAAATTGCTTAATGAACGTATCCCTGTCGTTAAGTGATGCGTGATGTAATAAGGTATATTAGGCCTCAGAGACTGATGGGTTTCGAATTTTTATTTCCCTTTATGTAATATTTTTCCTCTTTTTCTCCCTGTCAGGATGTTATTTATAGCTTCTCATTGCCTTTCTTGAAACTAAAAAGTTAAAATCAGAAAATCAAGGTTTTTAGAGTTCTCTACAATAAGTGTAATCAGGCTCAGGATGAGAGAACTGCATGAGCTCTAGTTCCTATTTTGGGTCCTAAGTTTTCTTATTAGTAGTAGTGCTGCTCACTTTCTGGTGGTACTGGTGTTTCCGAGAGTGGAGGTTGCTGAATAAACAAACTTCAGAGAATGAAATATCCCTGTACCTGAGAATCTCAACTTTACCAAGTAATACTCGCTATTCCCTGAACCCCCAGATTTATTTCCTAAATGGATTAATAAGCTTTTCTGTGTGTATACTTGACTTCATATGTAGTATCTTGGGGAGTGATTTTTATAACCACCAAAATTCAACAAATTCTACAAATTGAAACCTTTCTTCGATAAAACTCGCCCATTGATTTTTTTTTCAGAAAGACCCCTTCTGGAATTATAGTCATGGCATGGAATTTTCTTCTTTACTGAACACTAACTTGATCAAATCAAATGTCCTTTCTCAGGTATGAAGAAGTGAAGTTAGAAAAGTTAAAGAAAACAATTGTGAAACTGTGTTAAAAAAATCACAAAGTGGGGCCTGCCCCGTGCCCTAGTGGTTAAATTCAGCACGCTCTGCTTTGGCGGCCCAGGTTCAGTTTCCCAGCACAGACCTACACCACTCGTTGGCAGCCATGCTGTGGCAGCGACAGACATACAAAATAGAGGAGGATTGGCACAGATGTTAGCTCAGGGTGAATATTCCTCAAGCAAAAAGAGGAAGATTGGCAACAGATGTTAGCTCAGGGCAAATATTACTCAGCCAAAATGGGTATTTAAAAAAAAATCACAAAGCTATAAAATAAAATTAGATGCTCAAGGAAAAAAATCAAAGCAAAAGAGATATTGTTTATTACTGGTAAAAATACTGACCACTTAGGCATAAACTCATAGGTATCAGTAGAGTTCCTTTTGCCTCCTGCACCCAAAAAATGTCCAAGAGGCTTTAGAGGAAAGGCTTCTTTGGAAAGGTGCATTCCAATTTAACCTCCGACACGTCTCATTATTAAACAGGCACTCCTTTTTTTTGAAAGTATAATTAGAGATACTTTATAGGCACAGTAACTAAACTAAACCAATCAATACTAGCTGTTTAATTTGAGTAAACAAGTAAGTCCTCTTCCTGAAGAAAGGCTGTTGGCTACCGTGACCACCTGAAATGTTTTGGCAATTCCCTCCTGGGAAAAATCCTCCCATAATTTCCTTTTTACTTATGACCATGCAAAAATACCTGCCTTGTCGCTAGCATCTTCCTCATTTTTATTTTAAATGGTCATATTTATTTAACTTCTGTTTTGAATCTTGAACCTGTATCATTTTCTCCTTTGATGTGAAGGTTCTAGAGGCCAGAGGTCACGTCCACTTAACTTGTTTCATACAGTGTCTAGCATGGTGTTACATGCGATTACGTTCTCAATGATCTTTTGTTCATCTGGTGGAACTGTTATTCATCCTTCAAGACTCCCCTTGGTGAAGTCTTCTCTGACTTACCTTCCCCTATCTTGATACAGTTGCTTCTATAGCATCTCAACAAATTTCTATTAATAATCATCACATTGACTCCTAATTAGGTTTATATGTTTCTCTCCACAGATTAGAAATGGGCTGTGTCTTACTCATCTTCATCTTCCTGCAGTGTCTGGCTCAGTGCTTGTCATTCAGCCACCGAATGTTTGACAACTGAATAAATGAAAGTTACTCCTAGAAATAAGAACTTAACGAATGCTCATGATATCCAATGATCTTTACATTATACAAAGGCATTTGTGAGTAAATCATTGCTGTTGCAAAAAAAAAAAAAAAAATCTACAGAGACATGTAGGATTTAGACTTTTGGGAACTCTACCTATAGGGTATTTGACTGTTCAATTCTTTAGTAGATGTTTGGACTAAATACTAAATAATAGGCCCCCTGTCCTCAGGGAGTTTGACAAATAGTCACACAATCTATAGAAATATATTTTTAGCAATTAAGCAGTTATAGGGGGGTGACAGTTGGCCAGAATCTGAACTCAAAGGAGGGAAACTCTACCAGAAGGTTCAATAATAGGACAGAATTAATTAGGGGATTTTATTTGAAAAAAGTGGATCTTAAACCACAAACACGGTAAAAGGCAGGACACAGCATGGCGTGGTGGGTTGAGAATTTTTTCACATGTGCATGAGAGCTTCAACCACGGACTGTAGCCAAGAGAGCTAGGAATGCAAACTGGATTCTCTTCTGATCCTTTTGTTCTTGGCTTAAATGTCATTCCTTCGCCCTTCCTAACCATCCTATAGTTTCCAACCACCTCCCCATCATTCACGATGTTTGTGTACTTCACAGCACTTAATCCTGTTTGCAATTATGTATTTATTTACTAAATCTATTTAGTGTCCCCCAATAGATTGCAAGTTTCTTGAGAGCAGAGACCACATATTCTGCATTTATTACATGTATTCAGCATGTGGTATAGTGTGATTAGAAGGCAGTGAATAAATATTTATTAAATAATGGACAAATGAAGGACTGAAAAGTGCCTAAACAAAGATTGTTTAGCCAGGTTAGAGCATAGGCCAGGTCAACATGAGCAGGTCCGAGGTGAGGCATGCCACACTTTGAGCCATTTGTCAGAGGCTTATATTTGAGGCAACAAGTTTACACAGAAAGAGTCCTGGATCAGAAGTCGAAAGATGTGGATTCTAGCTCCATTTGCCAATCTGTACCATCATTAACCCACTAAACTTCTCTAGGCCTCAGTTTCCTCATCTGTGACACAGGAGACTCAGACTAGATGATCTGTAACATACCTTCCAATTATACTTTGAGTGCATTATTTACCACGCATCTACTCTGTGGACTGCATTATGTTGCAGGATTTTTAAGAACTCAGGATCTATTCATAGTGGACGAGAAGTGGGATAAGAAAAGTCTGCAAGTAGTTTTACTATGGCGTCCCATTTTAAGTGGAAAAAATAGGGCAAAATTTTGTAATTCAGACTCTGAGAATATATTCTGGGAGCTTGAAAATACAATAACGTGGTCAAAGCAGGGGCAAATGTGATTTGAACTGTGGCACATAAAAACTTGAAGGTCGTAAGAGAATGTAGGTCTATAATGAGGTTAAAGAAACTAGAAATTAAGTGATGAGGATTTAAGGGAAGATAGAGAATAGAAAAACTCAACTACTCGGATGGCACAGTAACTCTCATTAATCTCCTCCCCCAGTCCTTCGACCGTGCTGATGGGACGAGAGAAGGACAACAGCAACGGGCAATGGCAGGGAGAAGGCAAGGCAGGAGACCGGAGAATACAACTTTCTGCTGTGTGCCAGACCTTTTGTTTGTCTTGTTCACCACCATATCCCAGAACATAGCATGGTCTTTGGCTCATAGCATTTTTCTTTCCAAATAAATAAATCAGGAGAACCATTCACTGTGAACTCTTTAAAGGAAGCCCTAGGCCTTACATTGAATAGGCACTGCATACCTGTGTGGTGAATTAATGACAGAAAGAATGAAAGATAAAATTTCCATCATGTTCTATCAAAATAATTATGACATCTTTAAAATAAGCCCAGTTTCAGGTTAAAGTAACCCATATATGTATTTAGTAAATTCCTAAAGAGTCCCCCAACCCTTCTGGAAGAAATGAGCATCATTTTATTTCTAAAACAATAACCCCCCCCAATAATCTGTATATAAAACTCTATTAGAAAGCAATTCAAGAGGAGTATTATGTTGTTCATTGTGAATTTTCTTAATAAGTAATGCTAAGGTGTTTGCCAACTTCAACACCAAAAAAACATTTAAGGTTTACTGTTATGGTTAATTTCACTGGTCCAGTTCCTAACCATTCAAAGAGTTTCCAAAGACATTTACCTCATAAGACAGTTTGTTTTGGGCAATGTGAATTTATTTGTTTTGTACCAAATTTTCCTCAGTTGCTTTGTTTAGTTATGGGTTTCATTAAGTAACCTATTATACTGAAATGGAGCATCTTGCATCACTTAGTGTTTATTGAAACGCTGTGTGTGTGTGTGGGCGGTTTATGGTTACGATAGAAGAGCCATGTTTCTGCTTTCAAATCAAAGGGAAAGATGTAATACTCGAAGTTGCATTTGTAGCTGCAGGGATTGACCATTTACAGTATTTTGGACAATGACAAATTTTCTAAGACAGTCAAATGCTCACACAGGGTGGGTGGCATCCTGAGGGGAGAAACTGGCTTCACTGATAAGAGAGAAGAGTGCACTATTTGTCTTATTGTCTCGTTTGATTCTCTTCTAAGAATGGAAGAATTAAAATTTCATCTGCTC